ATTTTTATCTCCAATACTAAAACCACATTTTCTCACATTTTAGCATTTCTGAAACCTGAATGTGTTTTACAATTGACCAATTTCAGCCTAGTGTCGCATTACATCACAGTAAGTGTTGGCACTGTTTCTTCTTCATAGAACCTAATATAATGGTGGGTCTACAATCAATGGTGTCTGATGTGCTAAGAAATATGGTGCCATAAATTGTACTTTTTCCTTTTTATGGGTCATTTCCTTTCCCATAAGTGAGATAAGCAGATTTGATCCTAGATATTTTCATGATTCCTGATACACACCATCATTTTTCCCCCCAGAATAGCTGTGTGGCCCTAGCTGGTTTGGCCCAGTGGATAGAGCATCAGCCTATGGACTGAAGGGTCCCAGGTTTGACTCCGGTCAAGGGCACATGCCAGGGCTGCAGGCTTGATCCCCAGTGTGGGACGTACAGAAGGCAGCAGATTAATGATTTTCTCTCATCATTGATGTTTCTATCTCTCTCTCCCTCTCTCCTCCTGTCTGAAATCAATAAAAATATATTTTTTTAAAAAAAGAAAAGAATAGTTATATGAGTTGACCCAGCCCCTCTGTAGATGTAGGAATGAGGCGATTGCATAACCAGCATCGAGCATTTCCACTTGCTTTTTTGTTTGCCTAATTTAATAAGGAACTACAAATGAAGGAAATACAAACTGTTTCCATTTGCCTTTCTCTGATTAATAACAATAACTGGAACTCAGTTATTGTAATAGGCATTTTTCCTCATTCCTGTTGGAAACACCAAACAATGATCTCAAGGCTGGGAGGTCCCAGACGCAACTTACCTTTTCGTCCCGGGCAGACATTTTCCTGTCCTCTCTGGATCTGGAAAATAAGAAAGCATTTGTCCAGATCTGTCCTCCTGCCATCATTTGTCTTAGGATGCAACACTTTCTTAGAAATTTTTTAAAAAACTTGATTAAGTATCTGAAAATTTTAAATAATAAAGTTCAAAGTGTGTATAGAAGGACGTACATCCTGGGTACATACGTAAAAGAATTGATACAGGCACCCAGTCAAATACATGTACACAATATTCATAGCCAAAAGGTAGAAACAACCCAAGTGTCCATTAACATATAAATGGATAATAAAAGATGTTATATCCATACAATGGAATGTCATCCAGCCATAAAAAGAAACGAAATACTTTTGTAATATATATAAATATCAAATCATTGTTATACATCTGAAACTAATAGAATTTTGTATGTCAATTAGACCGCAATAAAAAATTAGTTTAAAAAATGAAGTACAGTCTGGCCAGTGTGGCTTAGTTGTTGAGCATGACCTATGAACCAGGTCACGGTTTGATTCCTGGTCAGGCCACATGCCTGGGTTACAGGCTCGATCCCCAGTAGGGGGCGTGCAGGAGGCAGCTGATCAATGATTCTCATCATTGATGTTTCTTTCTCTCCCGCTTCCTTTCTCTCTGAAATCAATAAAAAATATATTTTTTTAAAAGTGAAGTACTGACACATGCTATGATGCCTACAAACCTCTAAAACATTATGCCAGACACAAAAAATCACATGACATGATTTCCTTGATATGCAATATCCAGAATATGCAAATCTGTAGACATAGAAAGCAGATTAGTGGTTGCCAGGGATTGGGGGGGTGGGAGGGTGGAGAGGGAAATGGGAAGTGAGAGCTTAATGGGGATGGGGTTTCCTTTGGGGATGATGAAAATGTTCTGGAACTAGATGGAAGTGGTGGTTATACAACACTGTCGATGCACTAAATGCCACTGAATTGTTCACTTTATAGTGCTTAATTTCGTGTTATGTGAATTTCACTTCAATTAATAAAACCCCAGACACGTAGATTACAGTGTTGAGATTACTGTGGACAGCAGCAAAGAATCAAAATGTCCACCAACAAGGGGTCTGGTTAAGTCAGTTAAGGTACATCTGAGCAGTGGGAGTCCCAGTGCTATTAAACTTTCATACATGGATGAGGAAAGATGTGAAAAATATAGTGTCCCCATCATATTATATCACAGTGTGTAGAGTCTGATCCCACCTATGTGAAAAAATTACATATGCATTTTTTACAAGTTTGCAAGGATATAGCCAAATTCCTCACAGTGGTTACTGCTGGAGAGAAAGGGAATGATTAGGGGGTATTTTCCTTCTCTCAGCTTTTGGACAGCCTCAGCTTTTACAATGTCTATGTGCTACTTCTTCAAAATTATTTGTAACATAGTGACATATGCATGTAGTAAAAAGTTTAAATAACACAAAAAGATATACTATGACAAGTTTCCTTCCTACCCAATCTTCTCAGAAGCAGCCACTCTTACCACTTTCCTATGTTGCCTTTGCAAGCACATGTATACTTATTCCTTTTCTCTTTCTTTTTTCCTTAAACAAACGTGAGCCCCACACTCGGCTCTGAACCTTGCTCATTTCCCTTAAGGGTGTGGCGGACTGAATATTGGCCCCCTGAGGATGCACACATCCTCACCCTATTCCTCGGGACCTGTAAACGTGTCACGTTACCTGGCAAAAGGGACTTTGCAGATGGGATTACGTAAAGGACCCTGAGAACCCCAGTGGGCCCAATGTAATGAGAATCAGACACAGAAGGAGATGTGACCACGGAGGGTTAGGTTGGAGTCAGAGAGAGATTTGAGGATTTTATGCTGCTGCCTTTGAAGATGGAGGGAAGGGGGCATGATCCAAGGAATGCTGGCAGCTGGTAAAGGCAAGGATACAGATTCTCCCCTAGACCCCCAGAAGGAACACAGCCCTGCCAACACCTTGATCTTGGCCAACTGAGACTGATTTTGGACACTGACCCCCAGAACTCTAAGATAATATATTTATTTTTTTTTCAGCCACCAAATTGTGATCATTTGTTCAGCACGTAGGTTGTTTCCCAATCTTTTGCTGCCCCGTGTTCCAATGAATAACCCTGCATACCGTGTGCTACTTTTATCGTTTAAAAAATACCATCTTGAAAAAAAATTCACAAAGACTTAAAAAAATAAGGGGTTTCTTTCTCTCCCCACAGTACCATGCTAAGGGGCACTTAGAGGCGTTTTTGCTGCTTGATTGGCAGAGCAGTTTCTGCAACCAGCACAGTTTGACTCCATGGGTTCCTGTTCCAGCCCCTGGGGGCCCTCCCTCTACTCTCATGAGATGGGTTCAAGTGGAACCATTACCACAAGTGAAGGTGAAGGGAAGAATGAAGGTGCCCTGCAGATTTCCTCCCTTCACAAGGCAGGAAATAGAACTAGCACATCCGTTGAAAAGGATCCAGCTTCAATAATTCAAGCAACAGAAAATTTAATTAAGCCTATTTTTTCATCATTCACATAGCTTTTGTTTATTTTTAAAAATATATATTTTACTGATTTTTTACAGAGAGGAAGGGAGAGGGACAGAGAGTTAGAAACATCGATGAGAGAGAAACATCGATCAGCTGCCTCCTGCACACCCCCTACTGGGGATGTGCCCACAACCCAGGTACATGCCCTTGACCGGAATCGAACCTGGGACCCTTGAGTCCGTAGGCTGACGCTCTATCCCACTGAGCCAAACCCGTTAGGGCTATTTATTTATTTTAAAAAATATATTTTATTGATTTTTTTTACAGAGAAGGGAGAGGGATAGAGAGTTAGAAACATTGATGAGAGAGAAACATCAATCTAGCTGCCTCCTGCACATTCCCTACTGGGGATGTGCACGCAACCAAGGAACATGCCCTTGACCAGAATCAAACCTGGGATGCTTCAGTCCGCAGGCCGACGCTCTATCCATTGAGCCAAACTGGTTAGGGCCAAGCAACAGAAAATTTAAACCTACCATGGCCTCCCCATTAAAATAGACAAAACAAATAAAAATGAGAACACCTAATGCTCATAGGACTGTAGAAAAACTTGCACATATTGCTGGGGATAACTTTTTTAAACAGTCATCAGGTGGTAAGTGGCATGTGCCTTCAGAATGATCATATCTTTGACTTGACCAGTTTGGGAACTATCTCTCAAAGAAATCCCTTGGTAGCAAAAAAAAAAACAAAACATGTACAATTTGGACAAAAAGTTGAAAGTGAAGTTGGTATTACGGCTAGAACCTGGAAACAGCGCATAGACCCCACGTTAGGGAAAAGCTCAGGAAGGCAGTGGGCAGTTAGGAGGAATGGCAGTGATGAGGTCTGTGTAGAAATGTAGAAAGATTGCTGTTAAGCAACCTCTGCATGGTTGCACACACTGCTTGCAATTGCACATAATGATCAGAACTGTGCCAGGTACAGTGCTGAGTTCTGAAGAATCCAAAGTGAAGAGGCAAGAAAAAGGTCAGGGCCCAGGAAGGCTGGCATTTGAGCTGGGGAGACAACTGAGGAACCAAGGAAATGCATAAGCAAGGTAACATCACCCAGGGCCGAGCATTGGAAGGAAAAACAGTAATGCATCCGAGCATGGCCTCTGCAGTGGGGTGGGTGGTCAGGGCAGACTTCTGAGTCTTTTATGGTGGTCCCTGAATTGCAAGGAGACCAGTCACAAGAACATGGCAGGAAGAACATTTCCAGGAGGAGGAGGAGGAGCACGTGCAAAGGCCCTGAGAGAGCAGAGAACTCAGCATCTCCGAGGAGAGAAGTGTGGCTACAAAGGGCAGCGGAGTGAGAGGAGAATCAAGACTCAAGCAGGCGGGATCAATGCTGAGGACCTGGGGGTGGGAATGGTCAAATACAGAACGTGCCGAGGGATAGAAGCTGCTGTGGGCCTAGATGTCAGGACGAGGAGAAGAGCAGGCATGGGAGCAAGAAAACTCCGGGCTTCCTCCTTCTTGCTCAACCAGTGGTGGGGGAGGGCTTGGGGAATGCAGAGCAGTTCTGGAATTGTGTAAGCGGCGGCCTAAAGATTTTCAAACACCTGCTCCTACCAGCCTTCCCTCCAAAGGGTCAGAGCAGGGAGAAGTTGCCACCCCAGCCTTGGTCTTACTCAAGAAGCTTCAGCTGCTGGCGGGGTTGTCCGGAAACCCTGCAGATCTCAGATAGCTCTGACCGACCTCAGGTTAAAGATGTGCTCTCAGAGGGACAGCGATGGGGATGGAGGGGGTTACAGCTTGGTCCAGGCACTAGGCTTCACACCAATCATCTCTCATTTAATCTTCTCAGCCATCCTGTGAGGCAGGCACCATGCTAACCCCGTGGGACCCAGAAGGAAACCGAGGCACGGAGAGGTGAGGTCCCATGGCTACGTCCACAAGAGCCCCCTGTGCCTCGAGGAGGTGCTGAGTAAAGGCCTGGGAGTTCCTGGAGGGCGCTTGCCCTGCTTCCCACCACTCCTGGAGTTAACCTGGTGCCAACCACCATGCTTACTTCTCGCACCCCTCACCCAGGCGAAGCATGTGCTGCTCTGGGGGTTCTTCCTGCAGGGACAGGCTGGCTGGCTCATTTCCGCCGCCTCCTGGGATACACCCCCCCCTCCTCCCCGCACTGCCTCTCCCCTCCACTTCTCTCCCTGCAGCCCAGGTGGGGGTCAGGGCAGGGACGAGGAATACATGGATTTAGGGGTTCACACCAACCTGGGTGTAAGTCCTGGCTCTGCCTCCTTTGTGACCCCAGGCAGGTGGCTTGGCCTCTTTGAATCTCCGCTTCTTCACCTGTGAGAGGGAGATAAGGATGGTACCTCCTCACCTGTTGCTGCTGCCTGGCGTGTGACCAAGTGAAGGCACCTGTTCCAAACTCCAGACAAAAGGGCAGCTCTTCTGCCAACACCCTCACTTCCAAGGGGGGATAACTGGGGACAAGAGGGACTCCTCCCAGGTCCTGTGAGTGTCCTCTCCTGCCCTCCCCTCCTGACTCTAGGACCCCTGGGCAAGGCAGGGGTTCCAGGGCGGAAATCACTGCCCGCCCCACGCGCTGGGAAACGCTAGAACTGCGGGCAGCTGAGGGCGGCCTGGATCCCCGGGGTCCCAGCAGGAAGGCGGGGGTCCCGCTCTCCTCGAGGACTCGGGCTGGGGCGCAGAGAGAAGGGGCTGCGCATCGAGAGGGGGCGCGTCCCGCCCCGGAGCACTGACCTTGCAGTCCGCTCGCCGCGGCCACCGCTGCAAAATGCGAGCGCGGCTTCAGCCCCGGCCACCCCCGCCCTTCCCTTCCTTCCCCG